CCTGTATATGTATATATATATATATATATATATATATTTATATATATAATTTATCACAGAGGGGCTAAATATACTGCGTTGTGTACAAATGTAAGTGTCGAAGTGTGTAAATGCAAGGTGTTAGTTAGAGAAAAAGAGAAGCGAAGGAAGAAAAAAAAAACCAAGAGAGAAAAGGAAGGAGAGAGACAGGAGAAGAGAAGAAGAAGAAGGAAAGAAACGGCCGATGCGACGACGACGAGAGAATGGAGCTCTGCGCTAATCAAAAACGAAAATAACGATGATAATCTTTCTACAATCTCTCCATTCGTATGTACACTTTTTGTACGCTTGCAAATTGTAGCGAACAGTTGTAGTCATATGAGGGGTGCGTTTTTCTTCTGGTCTGTTAATCCTTGAAATTTTGTATCGCATGCATGAATAAACGAGAAACATTTCATTGCAAAAAGTGAGCCGAGAGCGAAGTGCCTCGCGGAGCGCGAGGAGCTTTCAGATTCGCGCGCTTTTGCTCCCTCCCCCCCCTCACCCTCCTTTCTTCGGACTTTGGTCTTTCTTCGGACGAACTCGCAAGATGCGAAAGTTCTCTCGTCTCCTTCCAGCAAGAAGTGTATCGCAAGAAACGGCGCGGAGGGACTCAAAGAGGCGGGTATTTCGGTTCACGCTTCATCGATTTGTGTGAATCGATTTCCGCTCACATTACGCTGTCCCACTTATTTCCCTATCACTTGCATGCCTCGTGCGTAGCATCGAAAGCATTTTGCAATCGCAACTCGGTCGTCTTCGTGCGCAGGTGAGAAGACCTCAGTTCGCGCGAGCGAATCGAGGTCGGAGTCGGACGAGAACTCGCTGACGAGGAATGACATCTCGATTGCCGTGACCGAAAATATAATACTTGTATGAATATTCAGAGCTTTGTTAAAATTCCGTCGAGGCGACTGAAAGAAAGAGAGAGAGAGAGAGAGAGAGAGAGAGAGAGAGAGAGAGAGAGTAGATCACCGTAATCTCTGTTCTCGTAAGCGAGTTTTCGTCCAGCAAGAGAACATTCGATCGCGTCGATGGGATTGCTTTCTCGTAGATTTAATTATCATTAGGTTTGACTGGTTCCGAAGGGAAGTAAAGGGTTGAAGAAAATAAAAGATTGACCAATGCGCAGTTAACGCAAGTGCCGTGACGTCTCATCGAGAATTACGCCTAAAATATAATTAGTATAACTATGCACTTGAAAAGTCGAATATTGCATTTACTCGTCATGTATCTTTGGGGGCTCGGCTGAGAGTTTTCGTATTCGAAAGGTGAGAGAACATTCAGTGCGACCGGCGGGAACCAAAGCGACGGTCGAGAAAGAGAGGAAAATATTAAAAAAATTAAAAATTGAAACAGGAAAAAGTGAAAAGAATTGAGAATTGAGAATTAAGAAAGGAAGGAAGTTAAAGGATAAAAAATTAGAAAAGGAAAAAATGAGAAGAACAAGGAATTGAGAATTAAGAGAGGAAGGAAGTTGAAAAATTAGAAATTAAAAGTCCGCGGGAAAGGAGAAAAGTCCGGGGGGAAGAATTTTAAAGAGAGAGAGAGAGAGAGAGAGAGAGACAATAATCGTCACTTTTCACACTTGGCGCGCCGCAGGCTGACACAAACGCTCGCACAAACATTGGTACGAAGTCGTAAATAACACCGGAGCGCGCGCGGAGCCGACAATGAGAGACAGAGAGAGATCCAATTGGTCACGGCGCGGCGGCGATAAGGAAAAGTCGTGACGTCGGGTTTAGTCACTCGGTCCGATTCGAAAGCGAAGATCGGCCGTCTCGCCGATACAATATCTACAAGATGACTGCGTGCGATGCGAGATACGCACACCGCGGAGTTATGAATCATCGCGTGACTGCTTGAAAGAGCGGACACGCCGCTGTGATTTCTCCGTCACCTACATGTCGCTCGCGCGAGAAATACAAATCTCTCGGCGAACATGATCGATCGTTCCGGCGATGCGACAATCGAACGCGCACGACAGGTGCATCGGTGGCCGACGACGACGACGAGGAGATTTCTACGGAGGCGGTCGGGTGAAATCCGAGCTTTCTAGCAAAACGACGAAAACCGCAAGGGCGGCCGCTCTCGTCGAGCGAGCGCGCGGCCTCTGAAATCCGCTCGCGTCCGCGCCGCGGAGACGATTAGGCGAAGAGGCCGCGACTTTGGAACGAGGTCGCCGCGATGGAAAGTGAATCAACGGCGACCTTGAAAGTGCGACGGCATGTGCATGGGAGACGCGGGCGACTACGCCTGCCTGTAAAAGGGAAGTATCACCTGCCGCGAGGAACGTTTCCTCGCGTCCTGATCGCGTCGGAGAGGCGAGCGTCGTGTGCGACGAGGAGAGAGGAAAGAGAGAAGCGATTGATTAGGTACGTTGAATAATTTAAGTTGGGAGGAAATAAGTGAGCAATTGGAGATGACGATTCGTCTGATATTCGCCAATCTCGCGCTGTGACGGAATACCGGCAGGCGGCATTTTTTTTGGGGCTTACGATGATTTTTCTTACTTTGAGCGGTGAAGAAATACTGGCGAGCACGCTCTCTGCGGGATGATTTATGCGCCATTCTGTTTAAGGTAACTTTGATTTGTTATGACAGATTATTTCCTCGCGCAAATCCTTGCCGCGCTTGCTTCCTGTTGGCTTTTACAATCATCGTGCTCGCTTGAGGAAATATATCGGATTTGACTTGCGTCATCGAGTCGCTCGTTCTTACGAATTATAATCAACTTTAGGCTGAATTGAAAGCCGTAAAGTGTGTAAATGCTGGAGCATCATCATTATTATACATATAATTATATATATAATAATATTATTATTATATAATATATATAGTATTATAAATATTATATATTAATATATATTATAAATTAAATATATTAATATATTATTAAATATATATTATATATTATAAATATTATATAAATATTGTATAATATATAATTATTGTACATAAAACCGCGCTGCTAACGGCGATACTTGGAGCAATTATTAATACAATTATTCGTCGACATTTGAAAACTTCATAATTAATATTAGATGTCTATCCGTGCTTGTTAGACCTGCATGAGCCATTATTTAACTTTTTCCGAGGCAAACTGTCAATGAAAAAAAAATTAAACTGTCGCGTCGCTAAACGGTGACGCGAGTGATGAGTCTGAGGAAATGTTGCAAACAAAATTGAAATCTTTTCATAAATTGGAAAGACGTAACAAATAAAAGTCTGCGTACTTTCGAGCCTCCCAACGAGATCAACTCCGCCCATTTACCTTGTTATGTCCTTTTATATTGTTAATTTATTAACTTATTTTTGCAATAATAAGATTGCTTGGTCGCTGGTCGCAACGTTCACTTTGCCACAACCAGCGCGATCCAGTCAACATAAATAATAACCAACATCAACATCATTCCAAGATCCTAATCCCATGTTCAAGAAAGAAAAAGAAAACAATTTAAATCATTGCGTAAAATTATAACACCGACGTAAAATTATTCTCAGATCGACGTTGAGCGATATTAACGCTTAAAGGCTACCGTGAAGGCAAAATTTCAGCCCACGCGAATTTTATTGCCGTTCTCATTAAAAGTTAAATTATCCGCTGCGAGCAATAACTTTCTTACTTGTCATCTAACATTCCATAATAATAAAACATTATTTTGACATTTGTTTGATAGTTTTCACTTCTAAGATAAAAAATATACACCGGAATGAAATTTCACTCACGACAGCATTGACGTGCTTTTAACACGTTAAACGCCGTGTCTCTCGGTCACAAAATTTAATAAATAATATCCTAATATTAAAAATTAAAGTTTCAAGATTATGGAGAAAAGAAAAATGTACCTACACATTATTTTCATCGATATTAATATATACAGAGTGTATAAAAGGTACCGGGACGGCGAAATATCTCGAAGACGCTTTAGAAAAGCGCTTTAGAAAAAAAATGTTTCAGACGAAAGTTGCATGGTTTCCAGGAAGACACAAAACAGCTGTATCATTTTGTTTACAGATGGCGCCGTTCACAGATTCCGAGATATTCACTGATCATTGCTTTTCTCCAACGGAAACCCCAATCTTTCGTTACACCATCCTTTTCTGTCAATTAATTCGAACGACTTCTGTCTGAAATATTTCTTTCCAAAATGCTTATAGTTTCCGAGATGTCTCGCCGTATTCCCGGCGCCGTACTTTTTACACACTCTGTATATACGCGCGCGCGCGGCGCGAAGCGGAAAGATGAAGAAAAAATGCTCGGCGCTTAACGCGTTAACCCTCTCCATTGCCCTCGTATGAGGCAAACGCTCGGTTTACATTTCTTTTTTTTTTAATTACTTAGATGTGGCATAAAAGTTGACTCTGAAACTCTCTGACTTTTTACTTATAACCATTTAGATTATATCTGTATAGTTATTTTCTGAATTATGTCAATACAATTTTTCTAATACGAGAAAACTAAGATTCGTCTTTTTAAACGAGAGGGCAATGGAGGGTTAAGGGAGTTAACAATCTCCGAATTAGCGAGAGCTTCCGACATCGCCGGAAGCTCGAGAACGAGCTCCGTCGATAATCGGCCGATAAGCGGGCGAGAGAGAGACAGAGAGAGAGAGAGAGAGGGAGAGAGAGAGAGAGAGAGCGAGCGTCCCGACGGAAATCTGTATTCAAACAAACGGCTGACCGTGTCGCAGGCCCCCGTCGTGTTCCCCAGGAGGCGATGACGATCCTTAGGAAGGCAGGGGCGAGTGCCCGCTCCGATACCGGTACTCTGTGACTCAGCGCGGAGTCGTTTCAGTGCGCGACGGACTACGAAGCCGTCGACATCGTCGGGTGGGAACGCATGTGTGTGCGTGCGTGCGTGCGTGCATTCGTCGACGACCACTCGCGTGGTGTCCTCAACGTCGACGGCGACTGCGGTCCTCTAGTGCGAAAGTTGCTCCTCTGGTGTTACCCCGCGCGTGATGCGCGTGAACGTGACCGGAAGCGGCTGAAGGTGTGACCGGCCCCGACCAGGGTGCTCTCGCAGTCGTGACGACTCGTCGCCGGGCTTTTCATTTCGACGACATGGTAATCGAGCGTGCGCGGTTAGATCTAACAAAGCGCGACCGCCAATTGAGCCGCGCAACTTTCGAACTTCGAGCTGAGGGAACTTTTCGGGAGGGACAGGGACTTTTCGTCCCTGTCACGTTCGCTCTCGTTGATTCGCGGCGGGACGAAGAGAAGACGAGGGGACGGCAGAGGGAGAGGGGCAGCGGGGAGACGAGGAATTTGAGAGGCGCATTCCGTTCGGAACGGGAAGAAAAGAAATGAGTAGAGTCGAGAGCGAGTCGCGAGGTGGCTTCCGAAGGATGAAAATCCGAAGAAAGAGCGGTACCTGCGCGAGAAGGCGGAGTCCTTCCGTATTTCTGTTTCTTCTGCTTCTCTCTCCTGCTCGCGCGGGAGACTCGTCGCGGACTTTCAGCGCTCTGTAGGTCCGCTGAATATAAATATTGTTTCCACACGCGGTATTGTGGCTTGACCTCGCGCGCGGCGAAGTTTAGACTCGTCCTGATCATCAGATCGCGCGTCGTGTCGCTTTTTTCTCTCTTGAGTCGTGAGTAACGAGGTTTCTCTCGTGACGACGAGGTGACGTCACGGACATTTCCTTGGACGGGAAATGCGCCGTCCACGTCGGATGATCGAATTCACCGGCGCGGCGGGGAAATCGAGAGCAACTTGGCTCGACGACGTGTTCACGTGTTCTCTCACACGCGGATCCTTTCCAGGACGGAACAGAAAATCCTGATGACATAGAAACGTCACATCAAAGTGACAGGATCATGATGGAAAAGTGAGTTTTCCGTCATTTTGATTTCCGTCATCATGATTTTCCGCTCCGCCTGGGTTCTTCTCTCAAGGATGTCGAGGTGAGAATGAACGGAACGATGCTGCGAGAGCCGGCAGGATCGCGAGGAAGAGTTCGTGCACCTCGCGAGGAGGACTCCTCGCGTGACTCTCCTCGTTACGAGAGCGCACTTGCATTCTCTCTCGCCCTTTCCTTGTCTCGTGCCTCGTGAAACGGGAAGTGATTCATTTTCTCGCTGCTCAATGGCGAGATTAAACCTCTTCCCCCTCCCGATGCGCTGACACACGTGATCCAGGAAACAGCTCCTTAGAGCGAGGACGAAGCGAGTCTCTCGCGCGGGCAAAGTCGAAGTCTGCTCGAAAGCTGCCGCCTCCGTCGGTCCGGAAGAGCGACGCTTAGGGATGCCGAATCTTTTTCAAACAGATCGATTGGAAGATCGATTCGAATCACGAAGAAAAAAATCGATCTTTAAAAAATCGGTTCGTAACGAATCGATTTGAGTCGGAGGATGCACGCAGAGTGAACCACTCCTTAAAGTATATTATCTGTCAAATTTCTACACTCTAAAATATACCTCGTGTATTATATTTCATTTATTCATATTTCATAGTTTAATATGAATTAAAGAAATCAAACATATGGTATTCTTTTAGTTGTGTTCTGTGTGTGTGTGTGTGTGTGTGTGTGGCCAGAACAAAATAGAAAAAGATCTTTAAATCTTTATGCTAAGGGTTTAATTAGTTTGATTAAACGTCAATCGAGGGTTTTTAAATGTTATTAAATAAGAAATCACGTTTACTATTATATATGCATATACATATGTATACAATGTATACTTATTATATGGAGTGGCTGTGACTGGTTCGCGCGTTTCGTTCCACTGAAAAATCTCGCCCATGGGACATCGGTCCCAAAGGCAACACAATGTGCATTGTGCAACTACTGAGTGAGTTCCAATGTTACAACTAAAAGAAGTAAAAAAAAACCATATTACTAGTAGAAACTGAAAAAATCGTGTTGGCGATTTTCAGAATTTACAGATCGATCTTTGAAAGCGATTCAGTTCCGGAAAATCGATTTGAAATCGATCTTTCAGGCTCCGATTAATCGATCTTCGATTAAATCGATGTAAAATCGGCGTCCCTAGCGACGCTCCGTTTCTCCGGATTCGAGAAAGGAGGAGGAGAGAGGGAGACGGACGAAAGGAAGTTCCGGCGGTCCGAGAGACACGCGCTGCCGCTTATTATGCCGACGTTGTTTATGATTTGGAAAAATTGCTGACCAGCGGTATCGGAATTCCCGACGCGACAGCCGCACCTCGGCTCCCCCCCCCTCTCTCTCTTTCTCCCTCCCCCCATTCCTCGTCGCCCGTGAATTTACAAAACAAGATTATGTTACCTCACGCACTCGCGGTGAGTCACGCGTTTTCCGCTACCAAGCGGGCTTCTCGATCGGCTCGTTTCTCGAAGCGGTCGCCGTCGGTCGGTTTTCCGTTTTTGTCATTCAGCCTTAACACGCCCGGCATCTGCGAGTCAGGGATCAAAGCGGCGATTGCCATCGCCGAGATTGCTGTCGCCGAGGTGCAATTATGCGTCACAAGGCGCGTGCGTGCCGCAGCGACGACCGCGTCGAGTTACGTCGGTTTTCACTTGGAAACATTGACACGAGACATTGTCTCGAGTATTTCGCATTTTCCCGGAGAGAGAGCTGCGGCAAAAAAGCGCGAGCGACCGGCCGCGAGAGCACGAGAGTTGCGCAAATCTCGATTGCACCGAGTGCAATCGAGGTGAACGGAGCAGAAGCCGAGTCGGGTCGTTTGCAGGATTTTCACCTGAAATTTCGACCTAACAGTTCAATTTTACATTTTTTCTTTTTTTTTTTTTCACCGAAGTTGAAATATTCGCGTGCGGGAGTTGGTCGAGTCAGCTTTGCGATCGGCTCGTTGAGATTAATTTTCGAGCTTATTTTGCGCAAACAACGGATTGATGGAGCGTCGGAATTTTGCTGGGTGCATCAGAGTGATTAACGCGCTTACGTAAAATTGGCAATTTAATATCCATGAGGACCACGCGATCAGTCTCAATCCGTCTGGTTTCGAGCGTTATAACTTTCGGAGATCTTCAAATGTACATTGAAACTTAAGCTCATTCATCCTCCTTGGAAGGCAGAGCGGAGTAACTTGAAATTTCAAATGACCGAACCGAACATGACATCGCACTGTCGGTCCAATTTTTTCCTTCTCATCCTTCTGAAGTAAAAAGAAAATATTTCATGATTCAGGAAATTTGCTCGTATAAAAAGTCAAAGTGACCCATTCGAAAAAAATGTTTGAGATAAAATGTCTGAGTTTGACTTTATCGCCGCCTCGAAAACAGGCAACTTTTATTCGAGACATTTGTTCGAATAATGTAATGATATTTTATTAAATGAGTCACCTTATATATGCCGAACGAAATTTTGTGTTTTCCGGCAGGTAATTAAGTTAAGTCTTACGCGGGCCACCTTCTACTTACTTATAGAACGGTTTGAGAATCAAAACGAACAGTTAAAAATAAAAGAAGAATTTCGTAAAAATTGGGAACTCAAAAGAATCGGAAGGAAAATATTCAAACCATACTGGAGACAAATATACACCCAAAAAGAAAAATAATTTCAGAACAAACGGAATCATCGAAATTTTAGAAGATTTTATTCTTACATATGGCCTCAAGAGGATTCTTCTAAGATTAAGAGGAAAATATTATAAACACATTATTCTTAAAGTTAGAGGGATTATATATTATATGTGTAATGCAAATCTTATTGATTTTGATATAAATTTCCTCTTACACACAGATTATTTAATCTTTTCTTGAGAGGATTATTATTTATTCTTACCGTACTTTATTCTCCTTGATTATACTACTTAATTTGAAGCAATTATTATAATGTGTATAGATGTATTTCTGGTTCCAGTTCTGCAATAAGTAGGCACGAATATGAAATAAAATCATCATAACAAATAAATTTCCAATCAGTTTTGTTGTGGACTTCATAACTACAAGGATGTTCATCATAATCAATTGTACGAAACATAATTAAAAGAAAGAATTATTATTCAACATATTATTCAACTTGTTGCGATAGATTATAGACTGGGATTTGATCAAATGTGGGTAAATTATCTTCGTTATGTGTTACAGCAATATACATATCATTTTTGAAAAGTGTTCGAAATATTCTGACCTATGAGCACATAATTATCCTTTCGTTCACGTCTGGCGGTAGAGCATGACTGAACAAAAGAAACCGACCTTCTCATCAACATATTTCTCTTCATACGAGAGGAAAATGAATCGATATAAGAGGGAATCCTCTTGAAAGCAAAGAGGAAAACCGAATAATATATAATAAATTTTAGATGAACTTTAATCGCTTTATCGAAAGAGAAATCCTCTTTCTGTGAAAGGCTTCGCATGGAATATGAGATTATGGAAAGAAAACTCACTTTACAAGTAGAATATTCTTTTTTTTGAATGTACAGCTCCGGGATTCAATTCATCCGACTCGACTCGACCTATCTCGACACGTCCGCTCCTTCCCTCCTACCGTCGTTCACGAAATCGCGTGGAAATTCAACGGCGATAAATCTCCCCCTTTTCGCGACAACATTTGCCGAGATATATCCCCGCGAAAGCCTCTCCCAATATTGTTGGGACATTATCGGAGATTTTTCTCAAACATTCATACCACCCCGCTGAAAGCCGCGCGCCTTATCGGATATCGTCGTTTTGTGTCGCGCGTTTCACGGAGTCGCACAGCTGCGCGAAAATCCGGATACGACGAGCGACGCGATAAATCATGCAATTTCCACGACGCGATTTGTTATCCGGCTGGCGGTTTACCGCCGCCGCCACCGGGCGGAATACTCCAATTGCAGGCGCGTAATGCGGCTGCCGCCGCCTATTCTGGAAATTAGAGCGATTACAGCGATGTGGAGCGATCGTCGGCGGTGCGTGTAACGACGTATCTTGAGGCTTCTCTCGATAAGAGCCGCGCGTATCGCACGAGCTTCTCTCTCTCTCTCTCTCTCTCTCTCTCTCTCTCTCTCTCTCTCTCTCTCTCTCTCTCTCTCTCTCTCTCTCTCTCTCTCTCTCTCTCTCTCTCTCTCTCTGCTATCTCCTAAGAACGCATTTTTTTGCCGGCGTTATTACGCGCTGGGAAACTTTACGGTGATGCACAT